TCCTGCTATTTAACATGATAATAATACCAGGCCAAAGGGTCTGGGAATCACTTTTCGGTAAAAACACCTTTTTGTGTTCTGGTATTTTTAGCCCTAATTATTCCTGAGCTTAGAACAATACCTTTTCTAGATGGCACAAAAGCTAAGTGACATCTTTGTGGTCCACCCTGAAACCCAACACAGTCTAGACCAGAGGTCTCCAAACTTGGCAACTTTAAGACTTGTGGACTTCAACTCCCAGAATTTTTCAGCCAGCAAAGCTGGGAGTTAAAGTCCACAAGTCTTAAAGTTGCCAAGTTTGGAGACCCCTGGTCTAGACTCTCACTATGAATAGCCAGCCTTGAATTCTGAGAGCCTTTTGTTCTTTCAGTGGAAAACTTCATTTGTTGCAGACAAAGATTCAGCCTGTGTCTCTCTGTGTGTTCAGCAACTGAGTGGAGGGAAGATCTAAGCCAAGTCCATGTCCTTCTAATGCTCAGAACTGAATTGTCCACCCACTTTGCTCTCTGTCTTCCTAATCTCAAGTTATTCCCTTCACGATCCCAGCATCAGGGTTCTCTGTCTTCACCGAATGCTTCATGTGAGCAGTCTACACTTGAGTGTGTCAATTCACACCCCCAACTGAAGGAAGAAAAGAAACACGAGACAAAGGGAGGGAGAGAGAGAAGCCTCAGAAGTTCAAAAGCCACCCAGACTTGGAAGAGCCTATCAGAAGTTTTACAGAAGGTGAAGCAGATCATTTATAACAAGTCCAGAATAAATATTTTCAATCAAGAGAGATGGAGCGTTAGCAACCTTGATCTGTCCTTTCCTTTTGCCTCTGAGCAACTGATTGGGAAGAGAACTGACAAGAGCTCTTTCCCAAAGACTGTGGAGAGATGCAACGTATCTCTTGGGTCAGGGCTTAACCTGACGTCTGTTTCAAGGCCAGCTTATTCTATGTGAAATGCAGGGCGCAAGTAAAGGTAGAGATGAAATGTTGGATTTAATTTGCTTGTTGAGTCAAGTATGACTTTAATTTTGGCAGGCTGACCCAACAGAATATACAGGTAGTCCTCAATTTATAACCACAATGGAGCCCAAAATGTATGTTGTTAAGTGAGAAATCTGTTAAGTGAGTTTTGCCCATTTTACGACTTTTCTTGCCACACTTGTTAAGTGAACTGCAGTGCAGTTGACAAGTTAGTAACCCAGTTGTTAAGTGAATCTGGCTTCCCTATTGACTTTGCTTGTCAGAAGGTCACAAAAGGGGATCACGTGACCCCAGGACATAGCAATGGTCATAAATATGAACCAGTTGCCAAGCACCTGAATTTTGTTCACATGATCCTGGGGATGCTGCAAAGGTCATAACTGTGAAAAACGGTCATAAGTCACTGCTTTTCATTGCTGTGGTAACTTTGAATGATCATTAAACAAACTGTTATAAGTGGAGGATTACCTGTAGTTACATGGATAATAACATATCAGGATGATAATAGGGCACATCCAGGAATGACACTGCCTCTAGCTCAGTGGTTCCCAAACTTGGCAACTTTAAGCCTTGTGGATTTCAACTCCCAGAATTCCCCAGCCAGAGTGGGAAATGATTAGCAAAAAGTTCATCTATTCCTTCTGCTTGGTTGAATGGCCTGGAGTATACACAAATGGCAATGCCATTCTTTTTTCCTTGTATGTAGACCCACGTGCTTTCATCCCTTATCGTGTGCATCTCTGTAGAGGGGAAGTGGTGTCTTACATATAATGCAACTCCATCTCCTCTTTTGTACATTCTAAATATTTATTTACATTATAAATTTTATGTATTTATGTACATTCTAAATACTTGGAAAATTGGAGATTAAGATGCTGGAATATAAAGAGGTAGACCTTGCTTAGCCATGGAAGATTATAGAATGCCTTGGAGCCAGTGGGAAGGTGCCTAATTTAGGAAGACCTGAGGAAACTTGTACTGTAAGATGTTTATGAAACATTCAGACAACCACTAGATGGTAGCAAAGAAGTAGAAAGAACCTTGTGGTCTCGTCACTAGAGCAGAACACAAAAGGTTATCACACACTGATGATATATTATGTCTGATTGTTAAATCTGAAAGTTCATTGCCATAAGTAATTGATACACTACAACAGAGGTAAATTATCAGATTACTGTACTTGATAAATCTATTGTACTTCTCATAGGCTCCAGTGTACCTGTGAAATTTGAAAACTTGGCTTTTATTAGGTGTTTGAATTCTTTTAAATCTTGGAATACATGTTTCTGTTTCTTTCACAATAATTATCATTATCATTATAAAATATCACTTTATAAAGCTTTGGTAAGACTACATACTGCATCTAATTTTGGTCACCACAATATAAAAATATATATATATATATATAAAAAAATATAAAAAAGATGTTGAGACTCTGGAAAGAGTGCAGAGAAGAGCAACAAAGATGATTTGGGGACTGGAGACTAAAATATATGATGAACAGTTGCAGGAATTGGGTACGTCTAGTCTACTGAAAAAAAAAGAACTAGAGTTGATTTGATAACAGTATCCCAGTATTTGAAGGGCTGCCACAAAGAAGAGGGGGGTCAACCTGTTTTCCAAAGCACCAGAAGGCAAGACAAGAAACAATGGATGGAAACTAATCATGAAGAGAAGCAACCTAGAACTAAGGAGAAATTTCCCAACAGAGAGAACAATGACCATAATCAGTGGAACCACTTGCCTCCAGAAGTTGTAGGTGCTTCATCACTGGAGGTTTTTAAGAAGAGACAGGATAACCATTTGTCTGAAATGGTATAGGGTCTCCGGCTTGAGCAGTGGGTTGGACTAGAAGACCTCCAAGGCCCCTTTCAACTCTGTTATTCTGGAACCCATTGCTTCTTGTCCTGCCCTCAGGTGTTTTGGAGAATAAGCTGACCCACTCTTTTCGGTGGCAACCCCTCAGGTGCTGGAAGGTGCTATCATATCACTCCTAGTCCTTCTCTTTGTTAGACTAGACATACCTACCGGTAGTTCCCCCAGTCGTTCATCGTATGGTTGAGCCTCCAGATCCCTTATCAACTTCTGCATGATCCTAACCATTCATTAGGGTTACTGGTCTGCAGTTTGTTCCCTGGCAGCTGTATCAATTGGACCTTGTCCCTAATTGCTCCTGATCTTTAGAAGAGTTCCTCCTGAGACAATAAGCTGAAGTCTTTGGGGGCCTTCAAGAAGGCCTTCAAATGCATTTTGGTGCTCTTTTAGCTATGTTTTAATTCAGAGATGTAGTCCTCTGAATGGTGTCTGTCCTTGCCTTTGGCTGTGCTGAGAAGGGTAGTCCTGTGATGTATAGACGTCCATAGATTTCCCCACTTCTGTTAACAGCTTCAATTGTTTTAATTGTTTGATTGGTATCTGACTGTTTTTAATTGGTACTGAATTTTTTGATTTAGCAGTTTTAATATATACATACCATTATTTAATGTAATGTTTCTCAAACCTGGCAGTTGTAAGATGTGTGACCTTAAACTCCCAGAATTCTGGCTGGGGAATTATGGGAGGTGAAAGCCACACGACTTATATTGGCAAGTTTGAGAAACAACGTACTGTAATTATATATTTCTGAATGATATATATAAAATGTAAAATAATATTTGCGTAATAGAAATAGGGATGTATTATGACAATATGCTACATTTGCTTAGCAGCCGCGAGAGTAAATACTCCAGTTTTATCATCTGTAGCAAAGAGTCAAATATTTGAGAGTGCTCAGATTGTTAATAAAGCTGCAAGGCTAAGATAATCGCCATCAGTCAATTGCAAAAGGCAGTTTTACTTAGAATATAAAACATAGAATAACAGGGTTGGGAGGGACCTTGGAGGTCTTCTAGTCCAACCCCTTGCTTAAGCAGGAGACCCTATTCCAATACAGGTAGTCCTCGACTTACAACAGTTTGTTTAGTGAAGGTTCAAAGTTATAATGGCACAGAAAAAATGACTTATGACTGTTTTTCACACTTGTGCAGCATTCCCATGGTCATGTGATCAAAATTCTGATGCTTGGCAACTCACTCATATTTATGACAGTTGCAGTGTCCTGCGGTCATGGGATCAGCTTCTGAGATCTTTTGACAAGCAGAGTCAATGGGGAAGCCAGTTTCACTTCACAACCGTGTTACTAACTTAACAACTGCAACGATTCACTTAACAACTGTGGCAAGACAGTTGTAAAATAAAGCAAAATCCACTTAACAAATTTCACTTAACAATATAAATTATGGGCTCAGCCTCAGTTGTGGTTGTAAGTCGAGGACTACCTATAATTACCTTTATAGGTAATTATAGTACCTTTAATATTATTAAACAACATCTGTTTATCTCAGGTCCTTGGGAAGGACTTGACAGGTAGACAAAAATGCCAAATCTAGTCTAAACATCTGGCTTATTAAAGTGGTCAACTATAATAATCAACAATGCTCAGATTTGGAAGGAAGGGAAAAAGGAATGACTCTGGTAATCTAAAGTGAATGATTATTTCATGCATTATTGTTGGTTTGTGGCCTTTCTGGGAAGATGACGAGACCACAGGTATAGACATGGAAGAAACCCGGGAGTATCAATACTTAGAAATGATAGAAAATATTTGTAGTTTGGGTGGTAGATGTTGGTGGTGGTTTGTTCTCTGGGCTTGCTGTTTACCTTCCAAACATTTCATCACCAGTGTAGGTGATATCCTCAACGAGACTTTGGCTGAAGTGTCTTGTTTCAGTTCTTCTCCACTTTTACTGATCTCATGTGATCATGTGGTTGGTGGGGTTCATGTGGGCATGTGGTTGATGAGTCACGTGATGACCTTCACACGACATCACCAGCTGGTCACATGGCATGCCACACAGCATAACCAGCTGGTCACATGTCCCACCAACCACATGACCACATGAGATCAATAAAAGAGAAGAACTGAAGTCCCGCTAAGGATGTCATTTAGCCTAGAAAACAAACCACTGCCAACACTATCAATACTTACGCAAGAGCCATGATTCCATAAGGCCAGGATCGGATCTCCAGCCTCTTCCGGCTCTTGATTTCATCCAGGGTCAACACCATCCCACTGTCTGATTCACCGTCCTGCAGAAGAGGAGGAAGAAGGGACTCAGGACATCCTGATGAAGGCTTCTCATTCAAAACCAAAGGCTGGACTGGCCCCCATGCAAGGATCATTTAGCTCCAGAAAAAGACTTCTTCCTCTTCCCAGGTTTTTCACTGGCTTTTCGCTGCCTTTTAATTGTATTTACAATCACACAACTTTCATTTTTTGGAAACCTGCCTTTACACTGGATAGATGATATAGCAAGTTTTTATTTTGCACTACCATATTCTGCGTTTCCCTTGGATAATAGTGGCCGATGTTTTCTTCTCCTTTTCCATCTCCCCAACTTTGCTTACTTGGCTGGCAAATTTACCATCCTATTAAATCTTATTGCAATAGCATTTAGACTTATATACTGCTTTACAGCCTAAGCAGTTTACAGAGTTAGCATCTTGCCCCCAACAATCTGAGTCCTCATTTTACTGACCTCTGAAGGATGGAATGCTGACTCAACCTTGAGCTGGTGAGGATCGAACTCTTGGCAGTGGGCAGAGTTAGCCTGCAATAATGCATTCTAACCACTGCACCATCATGGCTCATTATGGCAGGATAAACCCATGAATGATAATACAAACTATTGGATGCATTATGCACCTATTGGTATTCTGTATCATTGGAAAACTTCAATTATTTGTTGCTTTTCAGCTAGTTATTTATATTCAGGGATGGGTTTCCTAGCTGTTCCCTGTTTGCAGATTTCCCCCTTAGCAGTTACCACTTCCAGGTGGGCAGTGAAAAACACGTTTGGTTCACGCTCACCTCATGTATCATCTTCTCCTTCTCTACAGGCACCTCATCAAAGGTCTTGACACTGAGTGGCCGGTTCTTGGAGTTAATGCTGAAAATAAAGAGGAGGTAAGATTTTGGGTTGCCCACACATGGCCATTAAGGAGGGGGTAGTTGACGCAAGGATTAACTTTTCTGTCCATGCATGTGAAAGCAAGATAGTAAAAAAAAAGCATTTTGATCAGTCCCCTAATCATCATTTTTGATCTTCTCTATGCTCTTTCTAGACTAGAGTCTCAACACCTTTTTTTGTATCCTGGTGAACAAAATGGGACACAGTATTCCAATGCAGAATAAAAAGTGGTACTAATACTTCTCATGATTTTCTTACTGTCCCTTTGTTGATGCAGCCTAAGACTGTATTGGCTCTTTCGGCAGCTGCAGCACACTGCTGGATCATATTTAAGCCGCCTGGTATGTTCTTAGGAATAAAAGAAACAGCCACTAAGTGGTCAGACTGTTGGGAGAAGCTTCAAAAATACAGTGGAGGGACAATTTAGTTTCCACTGCTATCCACCTTTCCTTCCAGGTACTTACTTTTTCACTATAGAAAACATTGATTTCCATTAATTCCTTTGGAGGTGCTGCAAAAAAGAGATGTATTGCTACTTCTATCACATCCAGGACTTTTAGGGCTCTTCTGATCCCTTGTTACAATGAGATCAATGGCTGTGCCTCAGTATTGATTGAACAAGGCAACATAGGGACAATTTTGAGATTTTACAGGCTATCCTAGACTTTTTAGTAGACATATTTTCACAGTCTACAAATCTGGGCTTTCACATCTATTAGTGCCAGTCAAGGAACAATAACGGACTCTTTCAAAACACGAGAAAAAGAGGAAACAAAGAAAGAACAGAATTAATCAATCAGATGGTCGTTTCTGGTTGGGAAAAGGTTTTTCGTTGCTTGAAGTTGCTTCCTTACCTTGCTTCTATAGCACTCCAGCGGTGAATGAAGTTGCTCACGTTCTCTTCCAAGATGCAGATCTTGGGGTTGGACCCTCCATCAGGACACAAGGTGATGTTCAGCGGGATATAGTCTTTCCCATCCTTGAGAAAAGAAAACAGAAACTAAGGCTTATTTTTCTTACTTACTTTAGAAATCATTAACTGCCACATTCCTCTAATTCTCCTAGGACAGGGGTGGGCAATTGTGGCTCTTTTACAACCTGTGGACTTCAACTCCCAGAAGTCCTGAGACAGCCAAGCTGTCTCAAACTGTCTCAAGCCAAGCTGTCTCAAGAATTCTGGGAGTTGAAGTCCACAGGTTGTAAAAGAGCCACAATTGCCCAACCCTGTCTTAGGAGATCACTTTACCTGAAGGTTTCAGGAGATTAAAATTTTCATTTTCTGGGACCCAGCTGCAATATTTTGGCAATGCACCAGCAATGACATTTTGTCCAACATACACTTGAACTCACAATCTCCTGCTTACTAGTCTGAAGCCTTACCCAAATTAGCTGAGATTTCATATTTGGAGCCTTAGATGTTCTAGATTTCAGCTCTCATCATCCACAACTAGAGGAGATGGGAGTTATAATCCAAGAATATCTCAAGGGCCACAGCTTCTGTACGCTGCCTAAACTACTAAATTTCTTTGCTTCCTTTCCCTTGTGCTCAACACTTATCTGTGTACCAAAATCTGTTAATCTTCCAAGGAGCTGAATGTGGAGAAGAAATAAAGCTTAGACCAGTGAGCATAGAACATAGAATCGTAAGACTGGAAGGTACCTTGGAGGTCTTTTAGTCCAACCCTCTGCTCAAGGCAGGAGACCTTCTGCCATCCCGAACAAATTGTTGTCCAGTCTATTCTTGAAAACCTCCAGTGATGAAGCACCCACAATTCGGGGAGACAAGCTGTTTCATTGATTAATGATCCTTACTGTTAGAACTTTTCTCCATACTTCTAAGTTGAATCTCTTCTTAAGAAGTGACCACCCATTGCTTCTTGCCTGCCCTTAGCTGCTTTGGAGAATAAATCAATCACCTTCTCTCTGTGACAGCCTCTCAAATACTGGAAGACAGTTATCATGTCCTCCCTAATCCTTCTCTTCAATAGGCTAGACATACCTAGTTCCCTCAACTGTTCAATGATCTTGAGATCAGACTGAAGAAGTAGAAGAGCATCATGTTCAACTGGAGACACTGAAGCCCATCCCAGCATGTACATAATCCCTCTGTTAGCCCATTGAGAAGAAATCCAGAACATTAGGTCACAAACTAATTCTTTGCTATGTTTCTTTCATATTATTTAGACACCAGAATTTCTTTAGTTGTTTGCAACACTCTTAAGAAACCACATATGGCCCTCCTTATTTACACAATTATAAAACTTGTCCTTTTAAAGTCTAACTTTCAGGAAGAACTTTTGCTTGCATTTAGTTGAAACGTTTCCCATTCAAATGGGGCAATTCTCCTGTATTTTACCTGTTGTACATTTGCTTGGAGCAGATCCCCTAAACGTTCCACAAGGTTGGTGAAAGTGGGCCTCTCTGTTGGGATGCTGTGCCAGCAGTCCAGCATGGTCTGGTAGCTACAGGGGATTAAAAACATGGTGACTGAATTTTTAAAACTGACAAAGAGCTATCGATTCATTCTTCCACTAGGTAATCCTGTGCCCTGTTGGGCCATCAGAATTATTTTTTTTAAGATGAAGGAGAGGCAGCAGATAACATTTCAGTCAAAATGGTCCTTCTTAACAATACAGCTTTGATGCATTAATTTAGGCAGGCAGTTCTGTAGTTCAGGTGTGCATTTAAAAAGGAATATGTTGTTATTGTTAATTTAATTTATCAGCAACCCAATTCCCCAACAACTCGAGTCCCTGCCAATTTTCCAGCCCATAAGCCCAGCATCCTAACTGCTGAGCCATCATAACCTCCCCCCACTTCCCCCACAACAATTCTGGGCAGCCTATTATTAAATATTGAATGAAATTTGTATCCAGTATATCCAAATATTTTCAGGGGATTATTTAAAAGAAAAAAATCCAAAAGCTTTCTAGAATGATGTTGGTGGAGAGCTAGATTAGGGAGAATGAAATTGGGTGTAAAGAATGGGCACTTAGTTCCTAACTATGGAATTTGGAGTTGCTTGATGAAGACAGCATATTTATCTTGAAACAGAATGAGAAGTGACAGAAAAGTACGGTAAGGTATCAGACCAACCTCAGAAGAAATAAAGGCTGTTGAAGAAGTAAAAGCACACTTGTTCTGGACTTGGGGGAATTATGAAGGAACAGAGCAAGGCTCTTGCTACAATATAAAGATATCTAGAAACGGATGGGGAAGCTTACATTTCTGGAGTAGAGTACTCTGGAGACCTCATCCGTGTTCCTTCTTTGAGACGTCGACAAAAGTCCTCATCAATCTGGACCCCTGGATATGGAGAAGCCCCTGTATGGATAAATATGCAGCAATGAGGTCCATTCAAAAATATAGTTTTATTGTGTCTCTTCCAGAGGTTCTATAACCCTAAGAAAAAGGAGTGTGTGTGTGTACCATATATATCTGTGTATGCAATGCAGTCCATGGAACAAATTTTGCTTCCTTGATCATGCACTGATTCATGTTAGAAGTTTGAGATCCCTCTCCTCATCAGTGGCATGGTGGCAAGATCTTTAGGAAGAATTAAAAATGCTAAAGTTCCAGCATTTGGCATTTGGAACAATTTATTGCACATCCTATTTTGGGTTTCATTAGTTGTGGAAAAAAAGAGAATCTCAGAACAGGCTTTCTTTAGCTACATTTCTATCAGACAGAATGAAATGTTTGCTCTGGAGAAGATTAGGGTATTTCCTGAAAGCCTTCTGCTGTGAAGTCAGGGACAACTGCAGAAGGGAGCCACTAAAAAAGTCAAGATGGCCTTCACCATCATTGACTTTATGGCCCCCTTGTGAAAACCCAAGATGGAGGGAGAGATTGATTCCCCCATAGATCAGAAGCATGTATTGCTTTTGCAAGTGATAAAATACACTTAGCATTTGAGTGAAAAGACAGGGGCTGTACATTCCAAAATTGGGTGGCTTTAGAAAACTAAATTTCATTTATAGCTAAATATAGTTACTAAATTTACTCTGGAATAGGTCTATTCTTTTGGTCTCATTTTTTTGCACTTGTGTCAGAAGCACTGAGGTGCTTCCGGGTTGAAAGGATCAGCTGGTGACATCAGTGTTGCCTGGGGGATGCCAAGTTGGGGGCTTCTTTCATGTCCCTGGCAGGAGCAAAGGACTCTGCCCCACGGCAGCACTCGGGTCTCGAATGCAGGCTTGCTAACCTCTAAACCAGCATCCTAGCCACAAGAGGCATCCTGCTCCTCTTTGGTCTCATTAAATTGACTAACTTTGAGGACTTTCTGAATTTAACCCCAAGATTTTGGGAAGTTGTTGTGGGCTCTAGAGTCTCATACGTACAAGCTGATGATGCATTCACAAGAACCCAATGCAGCTATTTGTTTGCAACAAGCAAGCAAAAGGACCATCTTCTTCCCTAGCCTCAGAAGCAACACTCCAGCATGGATTGTCCCAGAAACTTGTGAAATGCCAAATCAATAACTATGAGTCAATAAGAAGTTCTGAAAAATGGTCCAGACAGAAAAGCTGTAGCAAGATAAACTCCGTGTCGGCAGTCAGCACCTTTGTTATTTGAAGTCTTGCAGAAGAGGGATTCCTGCTGTTATGATGCTGAACAAAAATGACAGGAAAACCAGAAAGCATATTGATATATTAGCCTAATGCAAATGTCGAGGAGAAAAAAACACACACTTTGAAGGAGCTGAACAAATTTTAATTCAGCTTGACTTCCTTGAAAAGTAGAAGGAAGGAAGAAAAAGCAAAGAATATTATCCAGATCTCAGTTTGAGCGCCAGTGTCATAGTTGGGAAAATTTCCATAGGAATCCCGTGGTTAGTTTCATTGCCCAGAGTTTCTACCATTTATAAATTGATGGTGCTGATACGTCTCAGCCCAGCTTTTGCTCAATTTTCATCAGATGTTTCCGTGTCCTTCGGCAAATATTTCATTAAAAAAATGAAAAATGCAGCACCAATAGGCATACTGTAGGCATTTGATAATAACATGTACGTTTTAGTACCAGTAGGCCTTGACTTATGACAGTAATGGAGCCTGCCCATTATGGTTGTAAGTCATTACAGTTGTAGATCGGGTCACCCTATGTGACTGATCCAATTTTACAAGCTTTTTGTGGTGGTTGATTAAGCAAATGCCACGGCTGCAAAATGTTAATCAATGATTTGCTATGGGCTTGTTTTTCTGAAATAAATGGAAAGAAATGCCTGTTTTCTGCAAAACCGCCATAAAACATGCTCACGTGGGATGCTGCAAATGGCCATAAAATGCAATCCACTTGCCAAGCATCTAAAATGCAGTCACATGACTGTGGGATGTGTGTGGCCATTGGAATGAGTGACTGATCATAAGTCAAGGACTATATGTATGCATTTTATACTTCTTTGATTGTTTTGGGAAAAGTGCAAAAGTTTTAAAAAAATGAGTGATGCAATTATCCTGGGAAACATGAACTAGGTTACCTGACTTGCAAAAATTACAGTTTGTACAAGAGGAGAGCCAGTGTACTTTAGTGGTAAGGCACTAAAAACAAGAGATGGTGAGTTCAAGTCCTGCCTTAGCCATGAAAGTGGGCTGGCTGACCTTGGGCCAATCACAAGGAGACAACGAGTTCCAGCCCCACACTTTAGGCATGAAAGCTGGTTGGATGACTTTGGGCCAGTCTCTCTCTCCCTCAGCTCACCCCACTTCACAGGGTTGTTGTAGGGAAAATAGGAGGAGGAAGATGTGTTCTATATGTTTGCCACCTTGAGTTATTTGTCAAAATAATAATGGCAGGAGATAGATAGATAGATAGATAGATAGATAGATAGATAGATAGATAGATACATGCATGCATGCATGCATGCATACATACATACATACATACAGTAGATACCATGTTTTCCCGAAAATAAGTCATCCCCTGATAATAAGCCCACTCGGGCTTTTGAGCACATGCTCTAAAATAAGCCCTCCCCAAAAATATTTAAACGCATGCATAGCCGGTCCCCGCCATTTCCTCTGGTTAGGGTTAGGGAGACAGAGTGGGAAATCAGATAAGACGGCAAGAGGAGCCCTGTCTTGTTCTACGCACCCCAAAATAATAAGACCTCCCCGAAAATAAGGCCAAGCACTTATTTCAGGGTTCAAAAAAATATAAGACAGGGTTTTATTTTCTGGGAAACACGAGTAGATAGATTGAGATTGATATGGTAGATAGATGGACAGATGGATGGATGGACGGATGGACGGACAGACAGAATCAAACATCATTACTGGTATTTCTAATTTCCAGGAGACAATTGTTGGGGGAAAATGTGGATTCTTTTTCCTGAAGGCCCAATGAAAAAGATGGCTTCCAGGCCTGACAGCTTGTTCACACTTTCTATATTCACCCAGCTGTCCTCAGTGGCAATACATTGCTGGGTTTCAGGGACTCTGGATGGTTTCTACTACAACATCCATATGCCTTGACTATCAGCCCTATGGGTAGTGGAATCCTCTATAGGAGAGATGTGGAAAGGAGTCTGTTTCATTTCCCTTTGCATCCAACTCAAGTCGGTATCCTTAATCTTGGATACTTTTCCAATTTGCTTCCAGATGATGTTATATTTGTCTCATTCGTAACCCGCTTGAAACAAAAGGCAACTGGTTGGACTAATCCTAATTTACAGTGCATCTTGTAGTGCTTTAAAAAGTTGCTTTTTATTTTCTAAAGTACAAATGTCAAAAATCATGTACAAAATATACACAGGGACATATATATTATTTGAGATTTGCAAATTCTTATATCTGTAATCAAGATGCACGCACAAACACACACAGGCATGCACAAGCATATATGTGTGTGTGTAAGTTTGGCATTATTTATTTTCCCATTTTCAGAACTTAGCTGCTATTTAGAGTGCACCACAAAAAAAGAAAGAAAGAAAAAAAAATCTGGCTTTGGATCATAACCATTCCGTATGGCATCAGTTGTTACTGTGCCTGGTATTTAAGATTTTTTGAAAAGGGATCTGTTAATTTAAAGTCTATGTTAAATCTAGCTTCATCCCCAGTGAATTTTCCATTGGCCAGATGGCTTTAGATGTTGGCCACCCCAATTGCCTTTTGGATTCACAGAAAAGCTGATTTGCATACACATTGGCAAAAAAAATCAGAACACCAAATACAAGCTGGGCGGATACGACCTCGTAGACGACCCTCACTCTGTCAAAAACTGAGGAGTACTCATCTCAAATGATCAAAGCCCCAAAGCTCACTGTAACAGCTTTGCTAAAAAGGCATTAAGAGTTGTTAACCTAATTTTGCAAAGCTTCTTCTCTGGTAACATTGTATTGCTAACTAGGGCATACAAAACCTTTGCCAGACCAATTCTCGAATACAGCTTGTCTGCCTGGAATCCACACTGTATATCGGACATTAATACAATTGAGCAAGTCCAGAGGTATTTCACGAGAAGAGTACACCACACTCCTCTGCTCACAATAGAATCCCTTATGCCATCAGGCTCGAAATTTTGGGCCTGGACAATCTGGAACTAGGCCGCCTATGGTTTGACCTAAGCCAGAGGTGGTATTCAGCAGGTTCTGACTAGTTCTGGAGAACTGGTAGCGGAAATTTTGAGTAGTTTGGAGAACCGGTAACTACCATCTCTGACTGGCCCCACCTCCATCTATTCTCTGCCTCCCTAGTCCCAGCTGATCAGGAGGAAATGGGGATTTTGAAGTATCCTTCCCCTGGAATGGGGAGGGAATAGAGATTTTACAGTATCCTTCCCCTGCCACGCCCAGTAAGCCATGCCACGCCCACCAAGCCATGGCCACAGAACTGGTAGTAAATAGTAATAGAGTAGTAACTGGTAGTAATAGAGCCTGGAATGCTCTACCTGACTCCGTTGTTACATCCTCAAACTCTCACACTTCAACCTTAAACTGTCTACCGTGGACCTCACCCTATTCCTAAGAGGTCCGTAAAGGGGTTGTGCATAAGTGCACCAGCCTGCCTACTGTCCCCATTTATTTGTAGTCATTTCCTGTGTTCATGTTATCTTGTACATGTCTGACGAATAAATAAATAAATAAATAAATAAATAATACCATAAACAAGCAGTCGTGGCCTGTTTAATTGCTTGACTACATCCATGCAACCAATATTAGAAAAAACCCTCAATCCCAAATGCTTTGTGGGATAGCAAAATAATGATAAAATAACAGTCAATTTAAGGGAGCAGAAGCTACTGTTGTGTACTTCACTTTTCTATTTCACAGTCGGAAATCTGTCTCCTGATAGTTGGCTTCCTCATCAAAAGTTCATAACTAGCTGATT